GCGGATAAATACAACAAAATAAAACTAGTACTGGTACCGAAAAAAAGAAGATTTATTCATAACACACGTGAAAAGACCCAGGAAAACAGAGTTAACGATCAAAACGATAACAAAATAACGCTGGAAACCGATAAAAACACTGAAAACCAGACATTTCACACCTGAGCCTCGACTCTCGCAGCCTGGTACCAAACGACTCATGGACCGGTACCGGTCTGAGGCCCGGGGGTTTTAAGTATATCTGTAGCCAAATCTAAACCAACGGAGGAAAAAGGCCAAAGGCTGAGCCACCGTGTTACCTGTACATGTGTCGTTGCATGTGTCCTCCTCGGCATCCTCCTTACAGCTGATCGTAGACCAGCACAGCTTCTGTTTCACACTGACTGTTATCAGCTGCATGAAGAGGACATGATGTCTTTTATTTGACAGCATTCGTTTGAGATAAATTATTTGAATTTGAGGAGCAGGACTGCACCTCCTAACGTGTCCTCTGTCTATAGATGACATCGCCGGCCCTACAAGCTGTTCGTTTTCCTGCCCCATCCTCCCTCCCCCTTTTTCAGTTCTTTCACTTGTCATTAGGACACGGAGGTCAGCCCCCCAGAGGCCTTCCCAAACTCCAGCTCACATCATGTTCAAGCCATCTGACTTTCTCTACTAAAATGCTGTCAAACCAAAGATGAGGAAGTCAAAGTGAAAGATTTTCACCGTTTTTTGCAGCTTCCAGAATGACTTCACGACGTTACTCTGACCCGTGAAGCTTCAGCGGACGCAAACATGAAGGAGAAAAGCACCTGTTCCCAGTGGATCCCAACCACAGCCATGGTTTCAGATATTTTAAGAATCAGACACAGTCCAGGTGTCTTTATTTGTGGTCACATAGTTAATTACTTTCATGGCAAGCACAAAGAAAACATAACGAATACATCGTTAAAGCATGACTGCCTTACACAGAAAGGACCTCAGCTGGTCCTGACTGTTTGTTGTCATGTTTGCAGTGGACTGCTGTGTCAGCGCATTTCATTCTTGAACAAAATCAGTTTTGCTTTTGTTACGAAGTATATTCTAAAACACTTCTTCAGTAGAGAGTCAGAGAAGAGAAACACACAGATTTACTTGCTAGCAAGGGCAGCTCTCAGAACTCACACCCCAAGAGTGAGTCTCAGAGACTGGCCCTGAGGACTGCCCTCGTCTTTTATTTATACACTTCAGTGAGCGTTTGTTCCATACATTGAAATGTGGAGGTGTGTGTGTGTGTGTGTGTGTGGGGTCAGAGTGTGACCCCATGAATGACTTCCCTAAACTGCTGGTCTGGAAAGTCCAGCAGTTCATCTAAACAAAAAGCTCTTAGACTGGAAAAAGATATAGCTACGTTAATCCTACCATAAAACAATAAAACAAGGTACGACCTTTCCCATGCTCCTAGGATGTGGGGGTGAAAGCCAGAACACCCTGGAATGTTACAGACTTCCTAGGATGAGACATTCCTTCAATATGCCACCAACTATATACTTCTAAACACAAGTGGTTACATGCAGTATTCTACCATATACAAACTTATATCATTAAAAGATTATACTGACTACTAAGTACAATTTTCCATTGACAGCTTTATTCTACTGATGCTTTTTTCATGAGCTACAGAGTTTCTGTGAACTTCACAGTAATTTGGTTTTTAATGAGTGTGCGCCGATCCTCCAGATTTAGTTCGGCGGTGACGGCTGAGCTCTCATCACAGTAAACCCTACATCTATTGGCGGCACAGTGGTGTTCATCTTGTGTTCACACCTGTCTCCCAGGTAACTGTCGGGGCAGTCGCACAGGTGTTGGTTGGAGTCCAGCAGCCTCTTGCACTGTCCCCCGTTCAGACACGTATCAGGATTGCAGACGGCAAGTGACCGGGAGTAATGGATGCAGATTTGACTGAAGTCATTAAGGTCGAGAAATGGGAATGAGAAACTAGGATACAAAGCAGACCTCGAACATCTGTAGGACTTCATGGCTGCTGGGACTTCCACTAAGTCCTCCGACACAAACTGGATTCTGTGCATCACCTTGAAAAACTGACCTACAGAAACTCCATCGACCTCACGGTTGCAGTTTAAAATATTCTGTGCCAATTGATCGCAGTCTATCATATGAAAGTAATTTAGCTCCGGGTGACACGAGTCCAGCTCCTTTACCACTGCTGCTGCTTTAGTGTCCTGGTCTTCTTTCAGAGTGTAGCCCACAGCCACAGTGACACTGTCCACAGGGATCTTTGTCATATTGTAAAATACATAGTCCGTGTTTGTATCAGTGTCATATACCACCACCACCCAGCTGTACCAGTTGTACTTCCGGTCCAGAACCGTCTTCACCTGAACAGCGATGGCTTGCTTGTTATTAGCACTGTGAGCTTTGGCGGTCTCTATCACATCGTTCTTCATGAACTGCTCATAGTTGGTCAGACAGAACTGTACAGCTGAAATCTGAGCTTCAGAGACTTTCTTGAACATCTGCGTGTGTTCAGCTTCTTTGGCTGCTGTGTTTAAACCCAGGAGTTTCCAGTAGAACTGGTTGACTAGCATCCCCTTCCACAGCAGGCTGCTTAAATACAAGTTGTATTTTCCGATCTGACTCGTGTCACATTTAAACTTTCTCTTCAGGAGTTCGTTGATGTTTCCGCTCAGAGACGTGCTGGTGACTGTCAGGTAATGGTAAAAGTTGGTCATACCGGTCTCAGCTCCCGTGTTCTCATAGTAGTTGGTGAATATTTGTGCCAGTCGCTGTTTGTCCTCATCTCGCATCAGCTTGCCACTCTCTCGAAACTCGTTGAACTTCCTCCAGGCGTTGAGGATGCGGAGTTCATCTTGAGAGTAGACGCTGATGTAGCCGAACCACTCTACGTCTCTTGTCAGGTCAGAGATCTGGATGGAGAGTGAATCCATCTTCCTGTTTACTTCAGCGAAGCCTTCCTTCACTGCCTTCAGCACTGGGTCGTCCTGTGGGATGAAGACTAGGACCGTGCTGATGACAGAGGAGGCCACACCTCCGATGCCAGGTGCCAGGCTAGCAAAGTTTGAAAGGCTTTTGATTACACCTACCACCTTATCAGGGTTAATATTTTCCATCACGTCTTTAAACAGAGACAGAGAATCTTTGACAACATTCAGAACTTGATCAGCTCGGTCTCTGCTGTCTTCAGGCAGGTCTCTGCGAGCCCTGTAAGGTGGTGAGAGGTCAGCTGTGACGGGGTCACGGGGCCGAGCAGAGGAGGTCGTCCAGTAGAGAAACAGCAGTGAAGCCAAGAGCATCGAGGCAGGCCACCAACGGGATGCCATGGCTGTAACACACAACATGAAAGTCATTTCTAAATGAACGTGCAGCTCTCAGGTTCACATCCATAAAGAATAACTGTGTGTAAATCCTGCAGCACCAAACACTTACAGGACAAGCGAGACGAGAGCTGCGTGTCTTTGTTCGCTCTCAAAAAAGTCTCATAGCTTCATCAGGAAGCTGTCAGATACTGCCAAACCATTTCAGTTTTGTGATATTATAAAAACGTTTTAGTTCACTAAAATATAAACTGGAAAAAGTGAAAAATAACTGAAACAGTTACAAATCCATGTGCGAGCGAGCCAGCCCACATGTGTCTGCACACTTTCAGGATAAAACAAGTAAAAACACCAACAGGAACTTTAGTAAAACTAAAAGACAATCAATAAATGACTTAATTACAATTAAATTACAGGCACTAAAAATAACATTTGAAATAAAGGAAATTATAGTTTAAGTTTAACTGCTTTTATGCTTTGATTTTGTATTTGTTTGCCTTTCTATTAACTCCCAAATTCATTTACTTTGATCCATTTAGTTTCCTATTTGTTCCTGTGATTAATGCACGTGTTCGATTCTGTTGATCCAGTTATGAAGTCATTCAGTCGTTTGTGAATCCCAGTCAGCGTAGTGCACACACACACACACTCACGCACACACACACGCACAAGTGCACACACACACAAAAACACACACACAAGTGCACGCACACGCACACACACACACGCATACACACACAC